AACGTTCATGATGTCGGCACGGTGACATGAACGCACTTGGAACCACGTGAGGGACCGAGCGACCCCACTCCTCGCAGTTGGAATGGCGGGAAACAAATGGGGTCCTGCCATTCTTTCTCGACCTAGAATAGTCTGGAACGGTGAGAACCCAATGCCCCTACCACAACGTCTGGGCCTGCGACTGTTGAAATCGAGCGCGAAAAGCATACTGAACTTCATATATGGATCTGCGAGGGCTGAAGTCGAGCCAAAACACTCAGCGTGAGAAAAAAATCGAACAGAACTCGAGCCCCACAACACAATCGTGAGTCGCCCGTCTGGACCGAATCGAGCCAGAACGCCATACTGAGTCTCTTTGCAGTGAGCTGCACTCCTTGAAAAAAATATCCCAGCAAAGCAACCTAACAGCGATATGTATAAGCATATCTGAAAGCATTCCCCTCAAGATTCAGATGAAAATCCAGTTGTAGAATTCTGCTGTTCTCGCAGTCGTAGTCGCATTCGCGATGACAGTCGCAGCGGCAACGGAAGTCGCAGTCACAGCCTCAGCCTCAGCCTCAGCCTCAGCCTGCCTCAGCCTCAGCCTGCCTCAGCCTCAGCCTCAGCCTGCTTCAGCCTCAGCCTCAGTCTGCCTTCAGCCTCGGCCTCAGCCTCAGCCTGCCTCAGCCTCAGCCTGCATCAGCCTCAGCCTCAGCCTCAGCCTGCCTCAGCATCAGCCTGCTTCAGCCTCAGCCTCAGCCTGCCTCAGCCTCAGCCTCAGTCTGCTTCAGCCTCAGCCTCAGTCTGCCTTCAGCCTCGGCCTCAGCCTCAGCCTGCCTCAGCCTCAGCCTGCCTCGGCCGCAGCATCAGCCTGCCTCAGCATTCAAAATGTGGCCCAGGAGTGGAGTTCTGGGAACTAGAAGAACACGAAGTGGCCTACAGTTGGCTCCGGGCATTCAAAATCATGCCCAGGAATGGAGTTCTGGGAACTTGAAGAGCACGAAGTGGCCTACAGTTGGCTCCGGGCATCCAAAATGTGGCCCGGGAATGGAGTTCTGGGAATCGAAGAGCACGAAGTGGCCTACAGTTGGCTCCGGGCATCCAAAATGTGGCCCGGGAATGGAGTTCTGGGAGGTCGAAGAGCACGAAGTGGCCTACAGTTGGCTCCAGGCATCCAAAATGTAGCCCGGGAGTAGAGTTTTGGGAGGTCGAAGAGCACGAAGTGTGTGACTGTTGACGAAAAACGAGCCCGGCTCTGTTCCCGGTTCTCCAGAATGTGGCACGGGAATGGAGTTCTGGGAGGTCGAAGAGCACGAAGTGTGTGACTGTTGGCGAAAAGCGAGCCCGGCTCTGTTCCCGGTTCTCCAGAATGTGGCCCGGGAGTGGAGTTCTGGGAGGTCGAAGAGCACGAAGTGTGTGACTGTTGGCGAAAAACGATTCCGGGTTCTCCTCCCCGGCACCCGCCCAGACCCCCCTGAGGAGTCCAGATGCTCTCTTTTGACCCTACTAGAAACCTATCAGCAAAAGCTGTTAGGTAATCTCATCATTACACCAGAATGAATCCCATTGCTGGATCTGCGAGGGCTGAAATCGAACCAGAACGCTCGGCCCTCTCCTGGATTCTGGTGAAAACAATATTTGGACTGAGATCGAGCCACAACATCATAGTGGATCTCATATCTGGACCAAATCGAACCAGAACGCCATAGAGAGTCGCATTTCTGGATCTGGGGCGGCTGAAATCGAGGCAGAAAAATCTAGTGAGCTTCGTGTCTTGACGCAATCGAACCAGAACGCGAGAGTCTCATTTCTGGATCTGCGGGGGCTGACATCGAGTCAAGACACCAGAACGAATCGACTCCGGACAGGACTGGTGAAACGCATCCCCCCGGCTCCCCTGTGGAGGTTCTGGTGCAAGGAAATCGAACCAGAACGCAATGGTGAGTCTTACTTCTGGACCACACCGAGCAAACAGCACCACAAAGTGCCTCACAGTTCTGGACCAAAACAGGCCAGAATGCCATGGTGAACGCTGCCGGACGGCGCTGCCGGATCGCGCCGCCGGGCCCGGGAGACGCCCCCCAGGCCCCCCCCCTGCAGAGATTCTGCTGGGAGGAGTGGATCTTCGAATTCTGTCAGAGCTCTCCCGCGAAACGCTGCTGGGGAACACAAGGGGCGACCAGCGCTTGGCCACTCTCGGCCTCCAAGGGCCCTCCGCGGGCTCAGAGACCGTGAAACCGAGGCATCAGGACGAGAAGACTGCCCTAGGCAAGCGGTCCAGACCTCGGGGAGTCCACGCATCGAACAACAATTGAGCGTTGGACGTCAGGGAACGCCTCGCGGACAAGCAGGGTCAATGAATCCTCTGGTCCGGATTCGTCAGATCCCAGTGGGTTCAAACATCGACCAATACTGGGCGCCACGAGACAAGCTGTGAGAACATGTTGCGGTCGATTCGTCTCTGCTTCTCTGCTCCCGTACAAGATGATTTCTCCTGCAAGCAGCCTTTCTGGCGCGGCATGCTTCCAGTAGGGGCACTGGCGCTCTGCCAATCGATCTCAGGTGCGCGCGGCAAGTAAGACATATCTGACTGTCGCTTCGCCGGAACATCACAATAAGCCCGCTTCTCGTCCGCGACTGTATACATGTCTGTTGTGCTAATGCTATCGCTTGGACCCTCGGGCCAATACGTTTACGTGACCTAGCCAGGGCCGCACAGTGATTGGCAAATAACTGCACCTTGGCATTACCGCGACGCTCGCTGATGTGCACTTGCGGCCCTTCAAGGTCCAAGTCTGCAACAAACCCTGTCCCTAGCACTGGAAACACTGCGGGCGCGCACACACGGGGTCGGCCTTCTAAGAAGGCACGGGGTCCCTCGGAAGGAACCAGAGGCTCCCAGGAATGCCTCTTCAACAAACGAAGGGCTTCTAAGAAGTCCCTTGCCTTCTGTGGAGGAGCAAACAAGAACTGCATAATATCAGCCTGGCGAAGGACCCAAGCATGTGCAGTTGTGCATACCGCAGTGGTGCGTATTGTATCCTCGCCGGTGGAGCTCCCTATGGGGCCACGGAGCGTGCGAGGGGTGTCCGAAGTAAGTAGGTGGCGGGGACGCGTGTGGTCACAGCAACTGGGGCCTTCGGTGGAGCTCGCTATCGTGCCACGAAGCGTTTGAGGGGTGTGCCGTAAAAGGTGGCGGACACGCATGTGGTCAGCCACTGGGGCCTTCGGTGGAGCTCCCTATGGGGCCACGGAGCGTGTGAGGGGTGTGCCGACATGGTTGGCGGTGACACATGTGGTTACAGCCACTGAGGCCTTCGGTGGCGCTCCCGATGGGGCCACGGAGCGTGTGAGGGGTGTGCTGGCATGGATGGCGTGGACGCATGTGGTCACAACCACAGGGGCCTTCAGTGGAGCTCCGTATGAAGCCACGAACCGTCTGAGGGGTGCGCATGGGTGACGGTGACACATGTGGTTGCAGCCACTGGGCCCTTCGGTGGCGCTCCCTATGGGGCCACGGAACGTGTGAGGGATGTGCCGTAAAGGGTGGCGGAGACACATGTGGTCACAGCCGCTGGGGCCTTCGGTGGAGATCCCTATAGGGCCACGAACCTTGTGAGGAAAATGCCGAAACGGGCGCGGGACACATGTGGACCCAACCACTGGGGCTTTCGGTGCTCCCCTATGGGAGCACAAGCCGTGTGAAGGGTGTGCCGACATGTGCGCGGGACACATGTGAACGCAGCCACTGGGGCCTTCGGTGGAACTCCCTATGGGGCCACGGAGCGTGTGAGGGGTGTGCCGACATGGGCGCAGGACGCACGTGAACGCAGCCATTGGGGCCTTCGGTGGCGTTCCAATGGGGCCATGAAGCGCGTGAGGGGTGTGCCGAAATGGGCGCGGGACGCATGTGAACGCAACCACTGGGTGGAGCTCCGTAGGGGGCCACGAAGCGTGTGAGGGGTGTGCCGAGATCTGCGTGATGATGGTGCAGAGGCATGGGTGGGAGGAGAGGGAGGGCAGCGGGAGTCCGGGAGGAGGAAGACAGGGGAGGCGGAGAGGAAAGACAGAGCGCGGGACACTGCCTCCTCGAACCGAGGACGCAACACCACAGGATGGTTGGGGATAAACCGCAGCAGTCGAAACGCCGCGCGGATCTCTTTGATCGGCGCTGGATCTCGCTCCCCAGCGCGCGGAGCGTATTCACTATATTTTCCCATATTTTCTGTTTTTTTTGTCTTCCCCCCCAATTCCCATATTTCCCAATATTTTCTTGGGAATCGACGATTAATTGTGTCTGTGTTTTTTCCCCTCCTGACCAACACTGGCGCCATTCACAATCACCCCGGGTAGCATCCCTGGACCCGCCCATGGGACCTGGAACTGCGGCCTGGAGCAGGGAGAAGGCACGGCTCCACGAGAACGCTGCCACGGACACGAGCTCTTCAAACAATGCAGGTCTCGCGGAGCTGCCAGGCGCTCGGGCAGCATGCAGGCAAGTACTGCGGACACCATAACTGAGTGGGCCCAGGGGGACACACATGCATCGGCACACGGAATTCCAGGATTCTCAGATGTTGCAGATCTACCTGTTCCCCCCCTTCCCAACAGTTGCCCCCAGAATTCTAGTGAGCAGAATGTCTTTGTGGTGTTTGGGTACATTTTCCCCTCCGGACGACGCACGTTGCATGGTCGAAGCTCCAACCGAGCATCTTGCAACCCCGCTCTAGCAACCCGTGTCTTCGACCTGGATATGACTGCGTATCGGTCCGCATTTACAGCGTAGCCTGTCTGAGTGGAAACCGAAGTCGACCCCTGGAAGCAATGGGAACCGGGCGGCAAGCCAACCACTGGGCACGCGAATGCCAGGCAATCGAGGTGCACCCACCCCTGGCGAGAGCACGCAGCATCTCAACAAATCTGCGATGCAAGGCCCTACGGGACGTCTGCGACACGAACGCCACGTGCTCTCTCGCTGCCTGCCATCAGCCCGCTGCTGCTCTGTCTGGCCCCCATCGGTCCATCTGGCGGGTGTTCACCTTGTCGACAGAGGCCGCCAATGCCAAATCGGCGGTGCTATTCTTGGGTGTCGAATCCTGCAGGGTGGGCTCTGCGCGGAAGGGGGAGCGCATGCGGAAAGGGGCGGCATCACGGCCAGAGTCGTCAGCAGCAGCCTCGGCAGCAGCCAGAGCACGTGGCAGAGAAACGGCGCGAGATGGAGATCGGTGGAAGGGAGATGGAGGGGAGGAGAGGAGGGGAAGAGGTGCGGAAATCCACGCCGTATCAGCAGTAAAGGGGCGCTCCTGGCCACGGCAAGCCTCGGCTACGACTAGGCTCCCCGACCTAGATTTACGGAGCAGCCCGAGCACCAGCGCCCCTCGTGAACCGAAAGTGGTCCTTGCTTCAGCGTCCTGACTGTAGAGCTGTGGGGCCACTCCGACTCGACAGGCCACGTAGAGGCCCAGGACCCCCCCCCCAGAACCCCGCACTCTTTCTCCTCGGGTCGGACGGGCGAGGAAGGGGGGCAAGACAGGGGGTGGTAGCGAAGCAGCTCGGGTAGCTGATTCTCCCGGCGCCTCTGGCGCCGGGAGACGCCACTGTATCTAGGAGGGCGCCAGGCGGCGGGACCCAAACCAGGTGCACGCATCAGATTTCGCCGCCCCCCCCCCCTTCCCTGAGTGCCCCACCCCCCTTCCGTCCAGCCCGATGATCCAGAAACGGAGGGTCCGTGGCCAGCCAAGCGGCTCGACCTGGGCCCAGGGTCTGCTGGGGATCCCCTGGAACACCTTGGGGAGCTGCGCACACCGCCTGCGCGTGTTGCATCAGGCGGCGATGCCCCCCCCCTCGATCCTCCTCGATCCCCCTGCTCAATCCTCCTCCTCGATCCTCGATCCCCCGGCTCGATCCTCCTCCTCCTCCTCCTCCTCCTCCTCCTCCTCGAGCTTCGTTTCCACTCCCTCGACCCTCGATCATGCCTCCTCCCTCCGACGTCGCCGATTCCTCGTGGCATGTGCCCCCCCAGGCTCGGGTCTGCGTTGACGGGGGGCCAACGGGCGGGGCCGTTCCCACGATTGGCGCCACACCCCTTTACTGGCCATCGCTCGGACGTCCATTCCCTGTGTTTTTTTCGATTTCATGCGTGTTTTTTCGCCAAATGATCAAGGATGCTCCTCGATGGTCCTCGCCGAGAAAAAATGCACACGTCCAAGCGATGCCAAGTTTATGCCACACCCCTTCCCGACCTCCGGATGCACTCCCCCTGCCGCCTCCTCAGGGGCCGGCCGGCACCTCGCCATGAGACGTCTCTGGGCCAGGGCGGGGAGACGGCCTCCAGAGGCCGAGAGGGCGCAGCAGAGCCGGCCGCCCAGGGTCGTGCGGTCGGTCGGGGAGGCCAGTCCCCCAAATCTCCTCCTCCTCCTCCTCGTCCTCCTCCTCCTCGTCCTTCGTCCTCCTCCTCCTCCTCCTCGTCCTCCTCCTCCTCCTCGTCCCTCGTCCTCCAGGACGGAAGCACGCCCCCGGGGGAACGGTCGGCACTTCTGCTTGGGGCAGCGGATCGGAACGATGCTATCGGCGCATGTCAGGGGTGGGCCAGTCTGCAGCCAACGCCGAGCCGGCTGCGCGTTGTGACCAACAGCGGTCCGGGCGGAGGAGGGGGAGGGCAAAACAGGACAAGATCACTCACGAGCCTGTGGTTCGAGGTCTTTGCAGATGGAAGTTGCCAAGCACCACAAGCGAAACAACACTGAATACGAATCACACTTCTCTGTGGTGGGCTGTGTGAGGCGCCTACGTATCAGTGGTGCCGCTGGGTGATTGTTCTGGTCCAGAAGAGAAGGACCACGAGGGGGAGGAGGACAGGAAAGCGTCCTGATCTGACGCTCTTGGCCCCTTGTGGCTCTGGGACCTCCAGAGGTTTCAGGGACCTCTGCGGAACCCCGTCAGACCTCCGAGTTATTCTGTGTATGTCACTGTTCGTTCCCCTAAGAGATGCGCCCGCGTCTTTCTAGACGAGTGCGTTCCACTACTTGCAAAGTAACTACTCGCAAATGGCCCGGATCCGCCCCGGAGGATCCACAATAAATCACATCGGAGAGGACATGTGTTTTTTCGGACGTTTGCGAGTAGGCACTTTGCGAGCAGTGGAACGCGCTCGGCGAGTTTCGTCGTCCCTGGCGCCGGCGGTCGCCGGTTCGGAGGACGTCGCGAGACACAGCGTCGAGCGGTGGCAGAGGCCCGTGCGCTCCGCCCCCCGCGCTCCTCCTTCTCCTCCTCGTCCTCCTCCTCCTCCTCCTCCTCCTCCTTATCCTCCTCCTCCTCCTCCTCCTCCTCCTCCTGCCCCTCCTCCTCCTCCTCCTTATCCTCCTCCTCATCCTCCTCCTTATCCTCCTCCTTATCCTCCTCCTTATCCTCCTCGCGTTCTCCATCGTCGCATACTTGGTTTCGTTCTGTCTTGCTCGTGCGCTGCACGGCACGTGTGCGGGAGCAGCGCAGCCTCCTGAACATCCCCGAGAAGGGCCAAAGCGCATGCAGGTGGGAGCACGGTGAGGGCATTGGATGCGGAACCATTGGATATGGAATCTAGGGTCTGGAAGCCGGTGGAACTCAAATCGAGGTTGGCCATGGATATCATCGCGAGCCTCAATACATGAGGAACTCTCCTAGGTCTGAAGCCTCCTGGGAACATTCCTTGAGGAACGCCCCCACCGTACGGCTCCTGCTTAGAATAGTGCTCCACCGTGGGGTTTGCCAAAATCTAAGAAACGAAAGAATTGAACAGATCAGTTGTTGCCCGGATGGAGGGCAACTCCTTTTCAAAATGGAGGCTCTCGCTTGAGATGTCCATGGAATGCGTGGCCAAAACTGCCACCTTATTTAACAATGACAAGTGTGGTGGCGACATGTTATGAAACTAGGACCGTGATGGACACCTCGTCGAATTGTATGGTCGTGCGTTTTCGTAGACAGTCTGACCTGCCAGAGAAATGCAAGGAAACTCCTTTTCAAAATCAAGCCCTCTCCTGAATGGCAGGCCCATAAAATCTTGTCATTCAAAAGGGGCGCGTCGTGATGTGAATCGGAGCCACGTGTGGACTTATGAAGAGGTGGCTTCGGACGGGAGATGAGATCCATCATCGTTGGTACATATTGGGTTTGCAATGGTCCTGCTCCTCCTCGTCCTCCTCCTCTTTCCTCCGACTGCTCTTCCCCCTTTACCTCCTATGTGTTTTCCCGCGCAAGCTTCTCCCTCATCCTCCCCGTTTTCCCATACACGCTGCCTCCCTCCGAAAGGAGGAATGGCATGGCATCCTCGTCTTCATCTCGAACTCCCCAATCCTGCGCGCCGCGGTGGCAAATACTGCCGCTCCGCACCCGCATGCAATCGGGCGGACCCACGCAGAAGGTACACAACACAAATTTCCACTTGAGCTCGCCGCGCAACGACTTTGGTGACTGGGCTGCCAAGAAAAACATATGCGGTGTATCCACCTCGTTCCCTGTGTCTTGAGGTTTTCCAGCCTGTGCTGACGTTTGTTCGAGGGGGTCTCCACTCAATTGCGCATCGCTTGATGCTCGCATTCTATATTTGGGCCATGCAGCACCTGTCCCGTTTGACACGGCCACTTGCCCAAGGCTCGAGAAAACAATGGGTGCTGCACAACACCGTCATCATGCATATGCCAACAACATTTGTCAACAGCCGGACTGGACTCCAGCAACTGGCCCCCTGCCATGCCGTACTAACCCTGCATTACGCCGACATGATTTGATCAATCCGTGGCCCAAAAGGGATTTCCCAAGGGGTCGTTTTCTTGCTGGAGGAATTCTGTCGCCCCCCCGGGGTTGACATCGACGACAAACCATGAGTTCAACTTTCGCCTGACAAGGGGGCCCAACAATGTGCAATTGTGAATACCGTCGTTGTGAACGTCGCCTTCGGTGAACCTCCTTATGGGACCGAAGAGCGCGCGGAAGGCGTGCCGAAATTCGGCGGGGCCGCCATGCGGGCGCCGTCGACGGGGCGCCCAATTTCCGCGAGGCATATGAAATGAGGGAGGGGGCCAGCGCCAGGACTGCAGCGTGGATGAGGGGGGGGAACAGCTGACGCGGGCAAACGGAAAGTTTCTTGGGCTTGGTCAGAGCTCCATGCGCCGCCGTTTCGTGCCCAATTTTCTCCCTCGCGTTTTCTCCTTTGTCCCTGTTTCCGTCGTGCATTGCGCCCGTGCCCGCCTGTTCCGCGGCGGCCCGAGCCCGGGGCGCTGCCGTTTTGCACCCATATCCTGCCCTTATCTTCCCACATCTTCGCCCTCGCGCCCTGCCGGCCCAGGCCACGGGCAGAGCGCGGCGCGGAGCCCCCGCGCCGCGCGCTGGTTGGCCCGAAAGCGCCCCAGCGACGCGCGCGGGTCGTCCGTGGCGCTGAGCAAGCAAAAACCGATGGCCGACAACGGGCGCACAGGGCGCGGGAGCCGCGCAGCTCCTGGAAGCAGCTCGCAGCGGGCCCCCCGCGACGCGCGCTGGGCGCCCCGAGAGGATTCCAACGGCGCGCGCAAGTCGCCCGCGGCGCGGGCCGATCCCCTGGTCTGGCCTCGCGGATACATGTGGCGAGGCCCAGTTCTTTGGCGAGGGCCGTCGCCTCCCTTCTGCGCCGCTTCGAACGCGTCGCAATATGCTCCAGCTGCTTGCGCAGGCCCCCTGGCGGCTTTGCCAGGACGAACTCGGCGCGCGGCGACCGAATGAGCAGGAGGTCCTCGTGGCTCGCGGCGCGCGAGATCAGCGCGTGAAGCTCACGCGCCAGTCGTCGTCATCCCTTTTGCCGTTCCCGACCGCGTGGCTGCCGCAATCGGCCGAGAGAGCGGGTTCGGTGACGTCGGCCGAAAGAGCGGCGCGCCGAACAGCCGACCGCCCAGGCCCATATACCCGAAAAAGCATGGTTGCGAACCGATCGCGCCCAGGAGATCTGGCCGTTGACTGCCCGGGCGCAGTTCTCTCGACCGGTCACCTTCTCGCGTGGTGCGCCCCCAGCACGTCGGTGTGGTGATGGCCCTGCCGCGCGAGAGCTTAACCTGGTGCGGGTGACTTTCGAAGTGCGAAGGTGAGCGGCGCCAGCGTGCGAGGCTCTATGAACACCAGCGGGCCCGCGAGTTCCGCCGTGAAGCTATCGTCGTTGCGCTCGAGGTCGGCCACGAAGGGCTCGAGACGCATGCGAACTCACCACGTTAGCCCTCGGTGGAGCTTTTTATGGGGCGGGCCGGGAGGACGCATTCGAACTCACCATGGAGGCCCCCGGTGGGATTTCCTGTGGGGCCACGAAACATGCGAAGGGTGTGCCAGCATGGGTCGGGCGGACGCATGCGAACTCACCACGGAAGCCGCCGGTGGAGCTCACCGTGGGGCCACGAAACGTGTGAAGGGTGTGCTGACATTGGTCGGGCGGACGCATGCGAACTCACCACGGAGGCCCTCGGTGGACCTCCCGATGGGGCCACGAAGCGTGTGATGGGGCCTACCGACATTGAGCCGCCATGGCTGTGCGGAGGGGAGAGGCAAGGATGGGAGGAGCGAGGAGAAGGGAGGTGAGGTGACGCGGGGCGTTGTCTCTTCAAATTGAGGACCTGGCACAATAGGATGGCTGGGCAAAGCATGCCGTCGGATATCTGGAAACTGTGGCACCACGAACCAAAACCAATGGCAACGACACGGTAAAAGCATTGAACAAGGAGCCATTGAGTAAGGAATCCGAAGTCTGGACACCGTCGGATCGCCGATCGTGTGTGGCCATGTATACCATCGCCGCCATCATTAAGTAATTCAAGATCCGCCCTGGGTCTGAAACCTCTTAGGAACACTCCTTGGGGACGCCCCCGCTGAAAGTTTTTCAAGAAATCGGCGCGTGGCCGTGCCAACTCCCAAGCACGGGCTACGAGGCAAACAGTGACGTCCCAGCATTGGCACGCGGGGTTCACGCGGCGTCACGCCCCCACATCGGCTGACGCGCGGAGAAAGCCCAGAGATCCGAAGTTCAGAGAAAAAATGCGGGCGGCCAATGTTGGGTTATTTTCGTCCCCCGGGGCTCTCGGACCAGGGGCCCTGGCCAGGCCTGGGGACAGTCAAAAAACAACTCGGGACGAAACACCGGTCCTGTAGAGAAGTGGTCCAGACCTCTGGTGGCCCACGCACCGACAACAAATACTCGACGCGGATATCCCCATCTATGCATATCACACACTTATCACGGGTCGCTGAGGAACTCTGACTGTGAGCATCAGGGTGTGTCACCGAATCCGCGTAGATGATGAAAGCGACCACAACAGCGACGATTTCAGTCACGTCCTCCTCCTCCTCAGGGCATGTTTCAAGAGAGGTGGGGGATGAGGGAAACACAAGGGGGGAATGAAGGAGCATTGAACTACCAACATATAGAAGACTGTGAGTGGATCTGAACGTGATTTGTTATAGCTGATTCCCGCGTCGCCCGACTGTCTCAATGAAATCGCGATTATCATGAACAATCGCGCGTGCGTACCCCATGCGGGTACATCCTGGCGGGACTCGCAATGGTGCCCAACGCAAGTGTGGAGGAGGGTGAACAAAGGAGGTGTGAACGTAAAACAAGTACTTTCAGAAAACCTCAATGCCGAAGCAGAGGAGCCGACACCACGAGCAGCCAGCGTACAATGCAGCAGTCTGTCCCAGACTGTAACCGACACTTGAAGTAAATAGTTACGCGGGGGCCGTGCCCTCGCGGCTGAGTGGGACAAGGCGCCTGGAACCGCCAGAACACACGCGCCATGGCGGACGGGAAGGGGGAAGAACGAAGAGTACGAGGAAGGGGGAAGAGGAGGGGGGCGCAAGCCAACGACCTCGTGTAGAACCGACTGAATGTGAAGGGCGAAACACCCGGCAAAAACGTGAGTAACCTGCGCTCCAGGGCGCGGCCGGTCTGCATGCTGGCAGGCAACGCAGCGGGGGAGGGTACACACATGCACACTGGGTGCCAATGAGCAGCACACCATCCCCAATTACGAATACCGAACTCACCAAAAACATCGGCCACAGAACACACAGCAAAAGCTAGAGGAAAACACGGGGGGAAAATGCGAATGCACGGGTTGACACCAAGGCCTGCATTAATTAGCCATGTGAGGAATGTTGTTGCCATTCGCACGCCTGCACCAAAAGGGTTGAAATCAGGGGTCGCTGCCTTTGGCGCCCCCCGCAGAGGGGCCACAAACCCGAGGGAGGCAAGGGGCCGCCCCCGGAGGGAGCAGGGAGGGTGGGAGGGAGGACGGAGGGAGGGCGGAGGGAAGGGAGGAGGAGGAGGAGGGAGCAGGGAAGGGGGGAGGAACCAGGGAGGGAGGAAGGGAAATGGATCGGCCCCTTGCCCCCCAGGGCGTGGGGCCCCGCGGGAAAAGCTCGCGGCTGGCGCCAGCCGGCCGCCCGCCAAGGACAACACGACTATTGCGCGCGCGGGGCGGAAGAGATTGGCCCCTACAGCTTTGATTCGGTTAGACTTTCTCGCCCGAAAACGCGAGGCCGCGGTGTCGGGGAAGGGGGGCGAAGAAAGAGAGATGACAGGAAAAGAGGGGAGCGAGGTTGCTGGGCCCCACGTCCAGATGCGGGCAAGGCGCTGCTCAGACGGTTTGTGTCCTGGCGTGGCCTCGCGCAGGGCCTATTGCAACGCCCTAGCAGCAGCAGCTGCCGCCAGCTCCCCAGTAGTAGCTCTGGTGGAATTGCTGGCGCGGGAAGCCGCGCAAGCGCCCGACGCCCCCTTGGCGAGGAGGTCGTCGTCGTGAGGTCCGGCGTAGGCCCCCAACCAGTGCGGCGAGATAAATTCAGCATCTTTACGGAGCAAAGTCGAGTGGGAACGTCGTGTAGCTCTGCATCTCGAATAACGTTCTACACTATATTCCGCGCCGCCACCACGTTCCAGTCGACAAACGTTGTCTGCGTCAGCCCGCTGCTGAAATCTCGTGCACGTCAACCACCTGTTCCAGGCGGTGCTGACCACAATCGCCATCACTGTGGGAGGCACGAATCGCCGCAGCAGGCCCACGCTGGTCTGGAATGCGTCAGCGAGCTGCTCCAGGACTCCAAGTAGCTGCCATGGGTGCAACTTTGTCCAAATGCAGAAGTGCGGGTTCCGCGCCTACGTCTGGGCAGTATGTTCCCTGACGACTGCTTGGAAACGACGGCCCGCTCGGCTTGCCGCTTCTTCCACAGCGCCCGTCATGCGATTTTGCTCATACTGCCGAGATGGCGGCCTTCAGCCAGGCTGACCATTGTTCCATCCTCTGGGCGTGCTCCGAATCAAGCGCCCGTCGCTAGCAAGAGTCCCT